GGCACAGTGTCTATTACGTTCGCCAAGCATTGTTGCTATCACTCAATAATTTTAGGATGTAATCCGAAGCCCACAAACGTACAAAAAAACCTACTACGAAAAACTCAGGTTGCATTCGTACTCGTTGTCGACGCGTTTGTTATCGGATACGGCGACCCGTCCACGCTATTACAAATTAAAATGCAAGCCAACTTAAGAAGCCGGAGGTGCTATTATGCTACTCACGCGATGTGTGAAATTCTCGCCGGCGGTGGGATGAATGAAGAATGAAAATACAATAGCGCATTACGCACTTAGTTGCACTCAACTTACGGAAAGATAGATTGCGCAAAGCAGACGTTTTGCAAGACGCTAACTAAACGATCAACATCATCATGTTCTGTTGTATTTTTTTTTGTTTCTTGCTACTCACATAACATTTCCAATTATTTCATCTACTTACGCCAATTATTAGATAATGATATCAACAAAAATGATTAACTATTCATGAACGCACCCACCCACAATATGAGTAATCTTTTTTCGTGATTACACATTTCGTAACAAAGTCATGACTAAATGCAAATACGTACATATTATTATTTATATGTTAAGTATAAACTAGGAATTATGAAATTAGTCGATTTTTTTTTATTTGATGACGACATGGGATGAGAAACAGCAACAAAACATCATTATTCGCTTTCGAAGAAGAGCGCTGTAACAAATTGCACAATTTCGGTTTCGCGTACTTGAAACTCAAACTTTACTAACATACATGAATGTATTAAAAACCATACCAAGTTAAAAAAAAGTTGAAATAAATTCCTTATAAAGGTATAATTTTAAGAGGCTATATCCAATCAAATCGTAAAACACTCGTCGCTATACGTGGAATCCTCTGAATCATCCCATTGTTGTTTACAAAAACACAGACACGTATGATATTATTATGAATCTTATTTACACACCGTCACACGTGCTTCCGCGCAGCAAATCCAAAATTTACAAATCTACATTTTTACGTAATTTACGGTTCATTGACAGAAAAAAAACAAATGCCGGTTCCGTTTGACCGCGGATCGGAAGTCCATCGACCATGTGCGACACAAACAGGAGCGCCATCTGTTTAACGTTAGCACTCACATCCGTCGATTATTTATGCGCGGGCATAATGAATATTTACGTTTTTATAGGAAAGCAGGTCTTGAGTTAGTTATTTAATTGCATTTGTGCACATGTTGATCGATAATTTCGGTGCTGGTGGTATTTATTTTTTTTTGTATTAATAGCGGTGCCGACGATACGCACCTGTAAACGGATGTGAACGAACGCTTCGTATGCTCGCACGGTGCTCGTTCGCTAAAATTTAAAACAAACAAAAATTCAACAAATATTTTTTTTGTTTTTGGTGGAAATGAATGAATAATTTTGCTATGAATAGTTAAATTGTAAATACATATGATCAAAAATGTAACATTGTACACAATTTCGAGTTGTAAAATTTGTTAAAAATCGAATCGAAAGGAAACGAGTGGAAAATAAATGATCGCTTCTTGCATGGTTCCTGCACGCGCGGCATCCCACGACGGGCTGGCGCATACCACAGACCTTGCCAAGGTCATTACAAACTCACGACCACGATCACTCGGCCGTTCCTTCACAACTTCACATTCATTACGCCGAGACGAAACGCATTTCCATCTTTTTTACTATGTAGGTACACCAGACTAGCGCGGCGACTAGATGTGCCTACTCAATTTATGTATTCGAATAAAAGCAAAAAAAAATTCAGACTCACAAATGGGGAAGCTGTCTACTATCGGTAAACAAGCCAAGCACTTATGCGCTACTACTATTCGCGAAAGTAAACAAATTTTGTGGTAATGGCTATGTATGCAAAGAGAAGTAGTCAAATATTTGAAATATTACTTACACCGATGAAAAATATGCAATATAAAAATGAAATGTGATATTTGATGCATTCATAAGTCAAGAACCCCGCACTTGAATGAATAAAATGCGTCTGCCACCTGACGCATTCTAGCCTTGTACAGATTTTATTGATGACTAAAAAAGTTCATAAAGAATAAATCATTAAAATCTAAAATAAAATGGTATTGACCGAGGCCAAAGGAGCACACAGTTGTCGATAAATGGGGTGATCGACATTGGGGTAGTTCAAAGCTAACACCACTGTCATGCCGCTGCAACGACGCCGCGACGCGAGTCAATAAAGTCCTATAAAATCCATCCAGACGCCGAGTGCAACGCAACGACGCGCAAGGATCCTTCCACAAAGCGAAAGCAATAACCAACAAGCAAGTTGAACCCCCTCGGCAGCCTTGGCGAGGTACCGAATTGGGGGAGAGCACGCGCGCGCGATGCACAATGAAACGCCCGGGGGCAGCACGTCGTCCCCACAAACATGCCAGAAACTCGCATTTCGACGAAATTCATCAACAAATAATATATAACGGGGAAATTTTTACTGACACGCCAAAGATTTGTTGACGAAATTCCACACGCTGGTGTGTATTTGTTTCATGCAATTATGAGTCACCCAACGAAGAAATTACTTCCACGAGAACGAGCAGGAAGCAACCCTTAATTAATTTACAGCCCACATCTCCGACGCGCACTCAACTCTCGACGATCGACAAAAATACAAATTGGATAATTAGATTTAGAGCACACCCTTCCTCACTCTCCGAATAATTTAACAGCTTATGTGCGTACGTAACTAGTTATATTTCGTTGGACGATTATAATTGTTAACCGCTTTGTCCGAGTATTTACTCCCAATTATCTTGCTAATTACCGGTCATTATTTCGGCGGAAATTGTTTTTGCTAAGACAAACACATTACACTTTTTTTTCGGTGTCGCCGGTTAAAATTGTCAAACGGTGAAATTGGCTGTGACATGAAACCACGATGCGTTTCCGCGTTTTAAACTCGCTATTTTCGGATGGGAGACGCATTTCGGTTGAAAATAGACTCCAAGGAATTATTCCAAAGAATGTGACCGAAAGATTCACTCACGTTATTTTTATCTTGATGATAAGAGCACGAGAATTCTCAAAATTTCATTTCAATGAGTATTTGTAACTTTAATCTTATCACGATTACTATCACTCTCGAATACGTTCAGAATCGATTTATGTCAGTTTGCGTTTTGGTAGTGCGCAACAAATGCGTTTATCTGCACTTTATTTGAACAATGAATGTATAGTAACATATTTAAATAATAAACATTGATAAACATGATTCATTACGTGATTGATTGCCTTCCGTTTCAAAACAACTAGCTACAAAGCAAACTTCCTTTACACTTAATTATATCATCGTTTGTTTTCTAGTTATGTTTCTGTAATGAAGGAATGAGTCAGATTTTTCATGAAAATCATGCAAAAAAACGGGTTGACACATACATTAAGCATTCAGACGAAGACAAGGTTGCTATGGAAACGATAAACAAACAACTGTGTAGCGTGATTTTTAGTAAAATCTACCGCAACACAAACATTATAAGAGATTGAATAATAACTGGGTGTTAATATGATAACACAAGATAAAGAATTGAATAAAACGCGTCCTAGGAAACAAATAATTAACCGGAAGTGGGTATAATTTCAATTGTGTGCTGGAGAAACGAAGGTTTAAAATATTTTCTTGAAATCTTGCACGCCCTACACATCAATTCGTGTTCTGCGTGCCGACAAAGAATGAAAAACAAGTCGTTAACATGTTCAAACATGCCGGCCGAGGTTCGGAAAGAAAACACTTCGATTTTTTGACAATTTAAAGCAAATATTTAACATTTCCATCAACATGATGAGTGTGAAAGTTAACAATACGAAGTACGCAATTTATATATTAATGCAATATGATAAATCTGCGAGTGTCGGTTGTGTATCATTGTGTTGTGCGTGTACTATTGACGGAACCTTGATTTGATATCCCGTTATAGAGTTGAAGTTTGTTGCTGGTGTAAACACACACAACAAATGCACAACGCGAATACGTGGAACGGCTCGTTTATAAGAATTGCACGAATCAAAGTGGAGAAAATTGCGACTAACATTCGACGCGAATCGACAATGCAATCACGCTGGTAATCGATGCCGATTTGTATTGTTTGTTCGCAAATCGCAGCGGTGCAAAGCAAAATGCCGAAGACGATCGTCAATTGTTTCGCATACAACAGCACCACACAAATCAACAATAGAAACCCCTCGATGAGTTTCCGCATGCGAGCAAATGATTCATGAAGTGCATACATACCGCTATGCTCGGTGAAGATGTTGGACACGATCTGACGTCCATCTTTGGTCGGCTTGGGCCTACTCTTCGTCGCGCGGATTGAATGCGTTCCCGACGTGATCGTGCGTTCCTTGGTATTCTGCGCGCCCATGGTCGGCGCTCATAACCCGATGGTGACGCCGAAGGGCCGAAACGAGAACGGCGACGAGCGCACTCCGGCTCCGGGTATGCGTGTGTATGTGTGGTTGTGTGTATCAGTGTATCCTCTGGCTGGCGGACCAGCACAACAACACTCTCGGGCACGGCGGATCGCGGAAGTCCAGCGGGTGCCGGGGTTACATGCTTTAAGGGCGCGCGCGGTGCACGCAAATCGCGCACATTTGCGGGCGCTCGCTATTGATCAGTACGCGGCGTTTTTACTGTGAGCAGCAACGGCGAGACGCGACGACGACGGCGACGACCCCACTGCACACACTGCAACTGCCTTGCTCACGACGCCATTTTGCGCTCGACTTCAGTGTGTCTCTCTTACACTCACTCACGACTATGCGGCGATCAGCGCCGACGTCGTGTCGGTTGTGTCGATAAATAGTACAACATTGCACCACTAAACGCCACTATTTTATCCAATTTAACAGTGTTCAACTTAGGCAACCAAACATACACCAAAACAAAGTTGTTTAGAACAAATAGTAACGTTCAAATCTTATCAATATAACGAATTCGCAGAATTGTTTACTATTGAAACTAAATCAACTTGATAGGAATTTGTTTACTTTTGCAAAATAATATCAATATTGATAATAATTTACAATATGCATCAATCATTTTTGTAACAAATGCGTTTTTGTTCCTCCGACGACTAAAAACTATACAAAATATTTAAAACTCTTACAGTATAACGTCCTGCCACAATAATTCCGATAACTTAGCATCGCTCCACGAAACATGGTATTAATAATAATCTCAAAAAATTAAATAAATCAAAATACATACATAATAAAAAAAGATTACTGCAAATAGTGCGCGTGTAAACAATCAATATATAAAATTCAATAGAATAAACAAGAGTAATAACAACGATTTAACATTCATAGTATCATATCAATAGAGATTTATCCTCGCAGACCTCATCGCGACTTAATTGTATAAATATGAGCACATAATTTATAATTAAAATTTCTATGTCGTGTGTTTCTGTGTCTGTGTCGTATGTGTAGTGTCTTTTTCACGTTCTGCTAAAGTAATTATGCTTAAACTACATTTATAATAAATAATAATCGTCTTATAAAAAATGGCATACCGAATATTTATATCAATGGATATAATTACAATATTTGATGCGACAGAGGCAGTGGAACACCGGAATCGAAAGGTTAAATGTACACAATCGTCAAACTAAAATTAAAAACTTAAAATATAACAAATTATATATATATAACACACTAGTTAAGATTCGCGCTAAACAACTACCATAGTATAAGTACGTGAAATAATAAGTACATTAGTGTCTTTTGTTTCGCCCCGAACAAAGATAAAACAGAGTGCAGTCAGTCAAATAGTTTAAAATTTGTTCAATTGTCTGCGTCTAAACATTGAAATGGCTACCGATTAACGCACACCAAAAAGGTGAAGAAACTATACAGCCTCAAACAACATTTAATAATAATTGTCATCATGATCATCATCATCATCATCAATATTTATATCGATTTCGTTCTCTTCTATATAAAAAATCACTTTTGTACTCTACGTAGAGATTTCCAACGCTTGTAACACACGCCTTTTATATTAAACGCTCTAAAAACCATCCAATGTTATCTTTTACAGTATTTGCAACGTTAAGTTTTAGTGTTAAATTTAAATTGTAATAATACATATTATGATACGTCTTCCATAAACGTTTGTCTTTTTTTTACATTCGTCAAATATGTAGGATATGATTGTTACTTCACGTATTCTCGTCCGTCTCCGCAATTCATCATCATTGTAAAGTCATCTTAGTAAAATCTTAGTCCTTAGTGTAAAACACATTTTGAATGTCGCGCTTATTGCCGATGATCTCAAAAAACAACAAAATGGCTGATATAGTGATGATAGTTGTAGTCCACACCGAAATTTAAATAAATTTTACAATCTCTCAACAATTAATCGTAATTATGCATGTAAGTAATAAGTATTATATCTTATGTACAAGATAGAAATCTATGTTATATATTTTGGAGCAGACTGCAAAACAGGTTTAAAGTAATTTTTACAGTTTTTCTCATCTTTCGCTTTTTCTCTTCGCTTCGCTGATATGTCGAGTTGCATACATTTTACTTCATATTTCTATCACAACTGTTTTCAGGATAACAGTCTTGGACACACATTAAAGGTAAAATTAATGATAGTATTCTTCTCTTGTGTAGCATGAATTTTAAACAGTGATATAGGACTATTATTCTGATACAAATTGCGATGATTGTGATTATTCAATTCATTGCTCCATTTTGTTTGTGATTAGTATTGCTAATGATCAGATTGTTACCTTTTTGTTTCTCACTTTTCAATTCATCGATTCGACAATAATTATTGCTTAACTAACATATTAACGACCCTGTTATCTAATTGAACTCTCTCTTACTATATAGTTATATATTAAGTAAGTTATCATTTTGTCCGCCATTTTGTTTCTAGCAAACTTTTATGTGTGTGTGTGTGATATGAAATGTAATGTTTCACGTCTTCGTGTCTCGTTTTCCCACCACGTTTCTTATAATCGCCTAGAAATAAGTTTGGTTCCACTTTTTTTTCTTGTACTTGTTGCATCCTACACCGCGTACCGCTTACATAATTGTATATGAAGGTTTCCTTATTGGTTACTAAGTTTTTTGAGCAAGATGAGGCATGTGTAGGAATTATACAGATGCAAAAGCCCACGTAAGCCTCCGATAAACATCTACAGTGCTGCTTCCTCACTGCAAGTCGTCCTCGCACTTGGGAATGTCGAAGATTTCGGCGAAGAGCGGCGGCAGCGTCAGTTTGGACCAGTTCAGACGAAACCAGTCCAGGTGTGCCGTGTGCTTTGCGCCTAGATTGCGCAGCTCGGGGAGTTTTATCAGCAGATTCGAGAAGAGTTGTGGTTCGTTTGCATGATTACGACCCACCTACAATACAAATACAAACCGATGGCATTTTATAGTAAAAACAATCCACAATAAAAGATAGCTATGGATTATGTTTACCTGTACTTTAAGTGCTTCTATAAGTTTATCCTGATAATGTTCTATCGTTTTGACATCGGTGATGCCGGGCCGATCGGCTGTGAGTAACACCACAGCGGAAAATAATCCCAATTCCGTGTCGTTCAACGCAAGCGCGTTAAATGTGCTGGCGAAATGGATAATGGACGTGACAAAATCAGCCTAAGCAATAAAAATAAATTACAATAAATTTAAATTCTTACTTTTTTAAACTAAAACTTACATCATACATAGTTTCCAACTGTTGTCGACTAACAGTTGTCCCATCGTCGAAAACCATCGACGCTCCCGAGGTGAGTTTCGCGACATGACTGAGCCAGATCTCAAAAAATCCGATTTTGATCAGTATCAGCTGATCATCCTGACCCAGATCGCAGAACCCGGGCACGCGTTTCGCAAATTCTACCACGCGCTGCACGCTCGGCGTCACATTCGCAGCTAATTCCTGCCACAACCAACAACGCTGCAGCTCAATGCTATCCGCTGTCGAAGAGGCCGCATCCGCAATATCCTCCTGTGGACTCGCAGGCATCTCACCAAGCGGTTTTCGTACTAAATTTCGAGTGTGCTCCTCCGTGTAACCGCAGTTCGCATGATGCGCCTGCGACACAGTCAGGATAACGTCGTAGACAGCAAGTTGCTTCGTTTCCGCATCGGATTGATCCGCATCTGTGGTGGAAACGCGTGATGCTTCCTCTGTGCTGCGTTCCCGAGAACGTTTTGGCACCCTACCATATCTTACAGCTGCCGAAATAAAATAAAACATTCACAAATTTGTTCCGTCTATAAAAGTTTCGCCAAACTTACAATCCCTCGACATTCCAACAGCGAGACATTTCTTAAATCGACAATATTGACATCTATTCCTATTCAAACGTATCACCAGACATTTGCCATCGCGCAGGCAGCGATACTCGATCTGCTTCTGTATGCTGCGTCGAAAAAAACCCTACGGACAACAAATATAGCTTGCTTTTATTTGTTTTGTAATTAGTGGCATGCGTTTGGAATTAATGTGTTTCAAGAAGCGAAGAATGGCCACGAATGGAAACAGCGACAATTCGAAAGGCACGCCGGGCGCAGGGTACGGTGCTTAAAAGGCTTTACCGAGGGTACCGTTATTCTCGGAGTCTCGAAGAGAAAGGTATACTGCATATAAGTAACAGGCGCATCCATGCATGCAACGCATTCAACGAATATGAGTGTGCGTGATTGGGGAAATTATCGTGGATTACCTTGCATCCTTCGCACGACGTAACGCCGTAGTGGTAGCCCGACGCCTTGTCGCCGCACACTTTGCAGGGCACGAAGGACTTTGTCGTCGCCGAGCTGTTTGAATCCGCAGCGACATAATGTTGATCTGCAATCAAACAAAAATCAAAACTTTAAAACGCAATTTAACCTTTTTTAATACATAACCTAACCTGTTACGTCATAGGTATATTCCGCATAGATAATAATACAGGTTAAGATGAAGAGTGTTAAGATCAAGATTTCAACTGTCACCAAATGTCGCCTGTCGCCTGCCCCGTGCCGTTATCCTATAGATTGACAATGAGTGATATGTATGCCATAAGCGTCGCCAAAACATTCGACATTGCGGCAATTGCGATTCGCGAGAACTAACAGTAACAAACTAACAGCAAAACGACGACACCGAGAATGTTAATATCACGCAGTTCGCGAAACGCCTGCGAGTACAATGCGTGCGCCAACTGTACCTCTGCGACATGTCGACATATTTGGAATAGAAAAAAGGTATCCGCAGCGATCAATTAACAAACGATCGCTCTCGCGAAGTCGAACATGTGTTCACGTTTTGACGTGTGAATGATCTTTTAATGCGATTTAATGCTGTCTAATGCTATTTAATGTCGCGATAAACAGCGATGTAACAAATGTCCACACACAGGCCATGCGACAATACGCGGAAATTTCGCTCGATTTGGCGTTGCAGCGCTGCAAAAACAAGCGTTATTTGTGCGCGAGTAAGCAAACATTGCAATAAAATCAGCTCGCTTTAGTCTTCGTGTATGTAGCCAAAAATAAAAGCAAAAAAAGGAAACATGCCGGCTGGTGGTATTATATAATGCGAAACTGGTCAGTCGTCAACCTTGCTGCGAGTGCTGCGAGGAGGAGCGCCTCGCAGGAGTTACAACACGAGCACATGAACTTCACCTTCGCACACGATACACACCCATAAAAAGTCAATGAACACTTGATTCTCGATACATTATACACGAATTATAATTGAATTAAAAGTTTTTTTGCAATTTTTCCATGGAAAATTCAATTGCATATAACATAACCTCAAATGTGCATTAATAATATCATAACCTAGCATTATACAAGTTGTCGTTGAGGTATAATGATAGACATAAATTTTCGCACACAATGGCGTATAATTCGCGTTCATACTGCCGTGCGATTACGAGATTAATTTATTTCCTCTTTCGCGATGGAAAGCACGACGCGGAAAACACAATAAAATAATTAATTATAGCATTTCATTATTATTAAATAACATTGTAAACCTTTGAGTGTATCATTGGAAATAAAACGAAATTTAATTGTCAATTTTCATTACAATTTGCGTTTGAGTGCCACCGCTGTGCTGGCAGCAAGTTTTCAATTACAAACCAGAGACAACAGACATACGAAGATTAAACCGTTGGGCGGCCATTTGTTCGCTCATTGTTTCGTGTGTTTCTTTCTAAGATTCAACAACAACAACAACAACAAGAACAAATAAAATGACTAAGACTAAGATTCAGAGTGAGTTAATCTAGTTAATTACGGATGTGCTGAAGGAAATTACTGTGAATTCGTCTCATAATTGTGCGGACAATAAGAAAAATTATTTGGAGAATAAATAGAAAATTAAGATTAATTATACTAAATAATTATACTTTTCTTTTGTTTTTCTTTCATTTGCATGATAATAAATTTCGGCATTTCGGTGAGTTATAAACATAAAAAAGTTTTAAAATGTAAACTTCAACAACCACAATTTTATACTTTAAATGTGAATTATATTGTTGTAATTTAGTAATTTAATTTTTATTTCAAAATAAATTTATTTTAATGTTGCGCATTTATCACAGTTTATGTTATTATGCAATTATTTGTATAATACCTACATGTGTTCAGGCGAACGCAGCCGATTGCGAACGCATATCATCTATAATCTTGTGAAAGTGCATTTTACTCGTTAGCGCATTTCGCATTACACGTTACATAAATCAACGAATTTGCAGTCATACCAATAATATCGCTTATAACACTCAAATTGCTTAAACAATTTGTGCGTTGGCAATACACACACCGTTATACACTGCGATGAAAAAGGAAACAATTATCTTAAAAGTTGAAATTTGCCTGCATTTGCATCGACATACTCTACTTACTTTCGAATTTGATTTTTTCGTTTTTCTCGCGTACATGTAAATCGCTAATCTGCACGGTGTGTACAATCAGATTGTGAATATTGTGATCTGGTTTTTAATGCAACTGCACATGTGTGTGCGATTTATGTAATCGGTGATCGCTAGCGATGTGTGTCTCTAATGTCTAAAGTCGCGTAATTAGAAATGCGCAAATCGAAGCGATAGTTCATACTTTCCTCGCTGAGTGAAGTGAATACTTTCATTGAATGCATCATACTCGTAATATCACAGATTGCGCTGTCAATTACATATTACCACACATTGCAATATAATATTACTTGTGTGCATACATAAAAGTTGCATACTTTTCATTTTTAAAATGTTAGATTTAATATAAAGGCTGTGCTGCCACAACAGAAACAAAAACTACACTAAAAAAAATCCCTAAAACTTGCCGGAATCATAATTGGACGAATTAAAAGGAAAAATTACACGCTGATTGTGAAAAGCTATAGAATACAACTGGATGAAGAACACACAAAGATCGTTTTCGTATCTTTTCATTGCTTTCGGATGTTTCGGATGGTTCATTGCCCCATTCGGAATCGCCTCTGCTCGAGGCGGAATTTCGTTAAAAACCTGTTCCATAGCTCCATACATTTACACACACAGCACATCCATTGCCCAGCGCACGCACGGAAAAAGAAGCGGACGAAATAAAAAAATAAAATAACGAAAATCTATCAGCTATTCAATTCCATCTTTCCCTCCGATATCGTCGTTTGATACTGCTTTATAGATACGTTAATTTATTACTACGGCTGCATCACGTCACATTCACATTCATAGTAAGACTGTCGTTTGGTCGTTTATATGTTAAAATTTTTCATTCAATTAGCTCGCTTTACATCCGCTTAAAATTGGAGTTTTCATGGCTTGAAGATTTAAGATAAGTGAACCTGCAGTAAAACTAGCTTTTGTACGTGACTTCGGTCTCGTAGTTTTTAATAAAACATTAATTAATTTATTAATTTCATTTATAAAATTTGCAATTTTATGTTAAAGAATTTAAAAATGCTAATAATGCATTTTAAAGCCATCTGGAATTGAATTATTTAGCTAAAACTATGATTGAATCCCTATACTAATTTTCATCCATTATTTAACGCTCTTGAAGACAGAAAGAAATCCAAAAAATCATAGATCATCAAAATCTGTCCAGCCATTCTTGAATTATAAATATTGTAACTAACCGTACTTTGTTTTATATAGAAATAGCTATATATTTTAACGCCCAAAGTAAAATTATAAGAATCCGCTGGAATTTACAAACTAAAAAATTCATCTGCATTAAAATTGCAATAAAATATGTTCTACTTCAATAACTACCCGTCATAAAAATGCAACATTAATGCATTCGTTCATAAATAACTAATTTATAACTACTATTTACTTGTTAACTCTCAGGGCGCTTAGATAATACGCGTTCTACAAAATTTTAATGAACATTTACATAACACTAGCATAATACATTAAGTTTTCCAATTTCGAAAAAATGCACCGGCGCACTTTAAACAACAAAAACCCGGCGTATTACTTTCAAAGTTTAGTTACCGCTGCAATCGTTGCGATAACTACAATTTTTCATCTTTCGTTGCGAACATCGTTCACTACATGATTCAACTAGGCGGCTAGCGAATGTGAGAAACGAGAAGAAACAAATGTCTGCGCGCTTGCACAGTGAGCGTTTAATTATCAATTACGCAATCGTAATCTTTCTCCGCGCGCGCAGTTTTCTCATTTTCTTCGCTTCGCGTCGGTTCAGCGAGCATCGAGAGCTTTCGATACTGCATTGAAATCGAAATCGAAGCGAAATGAAATTGCTTGTATTACTGTAAGCAATCGAAGCATATATGTCAAATCTATACAAAGTGTTTCAAATATCTTTCAACGTTTTTCAGTAAGTAGGAAGTAAAAGCGCAAATATTTTATGGTTATATCGTTTTATGCATACTGTGTACACTAGTCGCATAAAAGGCGCGCTCGCATTTCTCCCTTTACTTAACACTTTAACTTTACGTCTCCGCACACAACACTTTAGTTATTTACTTATACGCTTTTCCACTTTATCTGTATACGAACGTAACAAAACGCTAGAAACGGCCGCAATTCGATCGCCAGAAGATAAAATAATAATGCGCGCAGCCTACAGTTTACCCAACACGATTCGGACGCTTTTCACGCGGTTGGAAACTTTATCGCGTATGAAAAGTGCATAAAACAGGCGACACATATAAGTTCCAACACTTTCAACATGGCTACTGAATAAATAACCGCAAGTTTCAATATATTACGTTAGGTTCGAGAAATAAAGTTTGTTCTTCTTCGTGTTTCACTCATTTGTAATTCACTCACACTGCGCGAGGTATCTTCGGTTATTTATTAGCGTGCGCAAAACAGGAAATCGCTAATTAATGCGTTAATCAAGCATTCAACTCTGGAGGGTTCGCAAATGCCTGCGTGTTTAACTGTTAAATCGGCGAAATATCAAATTAGCAAACAGTTATCTTCCAAAAAACATTAATAAAGCAATTATAAGGTAAACTCTCATCAATTGTAACAGTTTGTTATTACAGCAGGATAATTACATTAAGATTTATTAATATTTTTTTTTCAATTTACAAAAAAATATGTTTTGAGGTTAAATCAGAGCCTAAAAAAATTAAAAAAATCAATTTTTTTTTTCAATTTTCAGAGAATAAATTAATCGTAGGCAATAATCAAAACATAAAAAAATCCAAATGTTGTAACAGGTGAAAGTTGATCCAACATGTGGTTGTCTAACGTCGAGTAACATTATCACCCGATTACACATTCATCGAAAGACGCTGAAAGGCTGTAATTAGATGTTTAATTCAATGAAGTGCCTACACTCGAAAGGCTCATCGGTGAAACATCGACACGCGAAGAAAACAAAAACGCTTTACACCGCATTAAAAGAATTAAGATGCGCGCGCACGCAAGACGTGTGTGCAGCCTGACGTCACCGCACTAACCTAACTTAATCGCAAATCGCAAATTGCAATGTATTGTTAATTAGTTATTAATGCCGTTTGATGTCTTGTGTGTTTTGAGCTGACGGCACACCGCCACGAATAATAAAATCGTAACGGTGCATCGCCGCGCGCAAACTGCGCCTCGATCGTGCGCCGGCGATGCACTCAGCATTCGCACGCTAATTATGCGCCACGCATAATCGCATAATTTGGAAATTACAATGTGCATTCTTCAACGGTCTGCACGAACTTCGCTATTGAAAACCACGAACGTCAAAAATGCACAAAACAAATTACATTACAATCACATGTAAATATCTAATCATATAAAATAAATATTTATGCCTAAGCTGTAAATTAACAAAGATTTTTCACGCTGGATGAATGAAAATAATCAAATATCATAAATGCCAACATTGCAACATTGCAAATAATATTTTTTTGTCTGTTTTGGTGTAATTAAACATAAGTATGCTTTTCGCACAAGAGATCAGATAAGCATTAACGTGATTAGCAGATAAATTAATTACCTACAACTGGATGTATATGTGATGTGTGGCTGTGCGCAAGCGCGGAGCGTAAAGTTATGGCTGCGGTAATAAAGTTACAAGTCCTGGCGGTTTGAATAAAAACGCGTTTATGAATAGACGCGCGTAAACGTGCGAAGAGTTGGTGCGTAAGCGACCAACGACTAGCGACTTAATGGTTGTTAGTCTTTACTCGCGGATTGCGCACTGTGCGCTGCTCGCTAATTTTATTCGCCACATATTATAACTCGCGTGTATATTATATGCATGCGCGCGTCGTATGTGTTTATTGACCTTTTCGCTATTTTTGTCATACGCGCAGATAACTTACTTTGTTTTGTTATTTTCACCCTACAGAGTGTGTAAATTAATTATTCGCGTGTTTTTAGTAAAATTTGAAAGAAAAACTGTAAAAATTCAATAATTAGAAGTATTTTCTTTAAGTATTCTTGTTTGTAATTAATTAATAGCAAATCAATTAATTTGTTGTAATGATTTGTTTATAAAATAATAGAATATTAAATTCTGAATCTAAATATGCAAATATTTTATTGTTAACTATTTAAAATCTAATAAGAGAATCGGTTTTATAAATATTACCAAAGTTAAACTTTGATTGTTCATAACTTTTGATTCAATTGTAAGATAAACAAAAACTTTAAGCTGTTAGACGTAGAATTTACTGCATAATCTATTTTTGCAAGAATCATACTTTTAGCATAATTAGTTTTCAAGTAATTAATTAAAGACTAAAACTATTACTTTAACAATAAAATCCACGCGCATCTAAAGAAAACTTTCGTATTTTCTTTTCATATTAATTAACTCTACAGAAAATTTTCTTTCCAACGATACTTTCATCAACTTTATAAGAAATGAATTGTAAGAGTTACAAAGTCACAAAGTTGTGCAATTTTAATGCCAACAATTGGCGCGATTCAGAAATAAGTCTCAAAACATTTATCAATTGTTTAACTTGATAACTTTCAGAGTTATTATGATAATAAATATCAAATTTGTCGTACATGAGTATTTGTTCACTTAATTTAATTTTCGGCAATAGAAAAATACGAATTATTACTTAAAACACGTCAATTTCATTTTCAAAGTTTCGTTTTCATTAAAATTAATTGTGTTTTCATAAATACTGTTGTTCAAGTAGCATAACGTATCAGATTCACTATGGCGCATAACAATGCCCTGAAAAATCGCAGCCGAAGTAATTAAAGCGCTCGCACCGCATGCCGCTCAAATTTTATTAATTAGTTAATACGACGCCGCTGCGTGCCGTAATTAATCCTCTTATTTTTAACTCTTAATGCTCAAGTCACGCTGTAATTCATATATTGCAAAGAAAAAGAAAATAAAAACCAAAACACCGAGTGATGTAACTTTGGTGGTTACCTTGCTTGATAACGACATTGTTGTTGGCGGTGCCGGTGGCCGGCGGCGAGAGTACAATCGGACTACTACCAGCCGACGAAGCGCTCGGACTGGCGGCGGCGCTCGCCGTCTGCGGCGGCATATGCAGCAAGGCATTCGGCGGCGGTGGCGGCGATCCCGCCGCAGACGTCGAGCCCACCGAGCCCGGATCGCTGAATCCCTGCGTGCTGCTGTCCTCCGGCGTGTCGAAGAAGCTCAGATTAAACTCCGAACCGGCGTCGAAGGACACGTCCGGCGACAACTTGTCTGGGGACGGCGCCGGACAACCGCCGAGCGTGCCCGTCATCGCGGGCTCTATTTTGAACACGTTCATCGTACGTATTTGTGTGTAGTATTATCAATAGCCTTATCAATTTTCAACAACACAACGATTCAGACTTATTCTTCGACCACGACGAACTGCGCACGCTTTTTAGTATAATCCATGATAGATCGTGTGTGGACACTGTTAATTAATTAATTAATTTTTAAAACATCGCCACGTGGGTGTTGATGTTGTTGTTGTTGTTGTTGTTTGTTAAGACACACAAGGCACATCGACGCCGACGACGACGCCGAGGACGCGATTGAATAATCTCGCGGCGCGCACGCGGACCGAAGCGATGCCACACACTCTCGGAGACACGGCGACTCTCTCGCGCCTCAGCGGCGCACAGGTAAGCAGCAGCGGCGCGCCGCCGGCCGAAGAGAGCGAGGAAGGGAGCAGCAGCGCAGCGCGATGCTCTGCCACCATGCTACCGGCATCTCCCCAAGTTCAATGCCCCTGTACAATCTTCATCGCGCACTTACTTCATCGGCGTACACAAACGCGCGAGCACCTGATCTACCGGGTGTCATCATAACAACAAAAACCAATATTTACACAGCGTGACGTCATCAAAACCGCCAATAACTAAATATTTTCATTGCGAAACACCCTGACCACGGTAATATATGATCTCATTTTTTTCATTTTGAATTTAGTCTGCACTCCGCATGCAACATATTGGCTTCCTTGCTTCTTTTACTTCGTACTTCTTGGTGCTTGCTTTTCATTTCTTCCTTCGGCATAGATATCGTGTTTTCTACCAGTGGTACTAGCACTGCTTTTCGCAAAAGTGAAGAAATGGAAATCGGGAAGCCCGGACCGAAATTCGCATGCAAATCTCACTCGGTTCTTCCCCCTTTTTTTAACTCGTTTTTTGTTTGGTTTTCTTTCGACTTGGGGCCCCGGCTGTACCTTTACCTATTTTCATCCGGCGACAAAAGAACAAAGGGCACCAAGCGCGCACGAGGAGAACAATCGATGGTACATTGCGGATTAGGTTTCTATCTTTTATTCGCTGGCTTTATTGCGTTCGTCGCTCGCCTGGGGTTCATTTTTTACGCGCATTGTTGTTTTATGCGGCGCGCACAATGCGAACAAAGATGTCACAATGTACACTGTCCGGCCGGCAATAATCAAACTATGAAACACTATGACCAGGGACACTTTTATGTGAACGGTGAAAAATCAGATGTTTTGATCTGAAATGATATGATTTGTGCTTTCGGGCAAAACGCACTGAATTAGCATTTGCCATTTATCTCAGTTGACGGCGCACGCCGGCGACTCGCGACGATCAATCAAACATGGCGCGGCGCGCATCACCCGCATCGATTAATTATGTATTGTCGCTCTCATCCGCGCGCACACATTCGCCATACAGCGCAACATTAATTTGCAAAAAATCGTCTGGTGCGCGATACAATCCGTGCTTTGTTTCGCATTTGTTCCCACAGTATCATCATTCATCATGGCAAATTTATGCTGAAATTGATGGATTTTATTGGAGGTTAATTTCAATCAAAAACACTTATCACAAATGTTTTCATAAAATTCATCCGCAAAATCAGTAAACATCGTTTTTTTCATTTGAAAGATGTAAACACAACACCCGATTGTAAAGTGTTAATGATAACGATCTGAATTTTTAATCTGTTTTCATTAAAATCCCATTTAATACGCATTACATCAAAAACGACAAGATGTCCACGACACACGTCGCTCAATCCGCGCACCGCTTAATACGATTTTAATCTATTTTATCGATTGTGAGCGCGCGGAAAAGATACACGAAAGTGTCCCGGCCGACACAGTAAATAAAGTGTTACAAGCAACAACTTACATTGTGCGCCCGTTTGGTGCTGGCGCTGTTATGCGCTGTTAACAAATCGCCGCGCCGCTAAAGACACGCATAAATTATGCAAGCGCACAACGGCTTACGTACGATTCAAACAAAACCGAAGGAGTGAACAGAAAAAAATCAATAAAATACGACGTAAACAAATCTACCACCTCAAGCCCACAACAATCATAATCATATACACATTTTACCATCGCCAGCACCAAGAAAGCTACCAACTGGTCCGAGTAGTTGCTACTTCTACGGTAACAAATATTTACACATGTTTCACAGTGTATTTAAAGAAAGAAAGACGAAAAAAGACGGGAATTGATAGTGTAAACACTGAAAACATAAATTCATGAATTCAGTCTAACCATAACGCAAGCAAAGAGACACGTCTTCGGAGATGATGAGGAGAGGCTGCGCCGAAGAACCGATCGCGCGTGTGAATGAACCTTCGCCGGTGCTTTTGCTCGGCGCGGCTCCTTCGACTCCTCTTCGCGCACGAAACGAACCGGTTGCCATTCTCATATATAGGCGCACCACCTATATCCATCCACACTGATAGGTACATACACAGAGAGTCGAAGATATATCTTTGTTTATACGCGTATATGCCGCATTTTACATGTAAAATTCTTGCGCATTCGGGATGATGCTTATCGATAGGCCCCCTTGAAGAGTCGTCTGCAGAATTAAGGTACCGCACGCACCGAGAGATTGCTGCACACGTGCACCACCAGAGAGATGGACACGGACGCGATAATGTTGCTCGCATGCCGCGCATTCATATCGATAAAGAGGCGGCGCGCATTGTGCAGCGCGCAGCGCACAATACAACATTACAACCCCTTTAACCTGTTTGCGCGCATTGTCTTGAAGACGCCGACAGTGGAACACATCGGAACGAGTTCTCCTCTCGGGATCCCGGTTGGGATGCTGGGTGCGCGAACATGTGAAATTATGTCATAGACGCTGAGAATGCAGCGCGCGCCCGCCCTGGAATTAGCGAATGGGCGATGCCTGAATTTCCAGGCATTGTTGGCGAAAGGATTAGGCGGGATGCAACATGATAATTATAACAATGCGTCAACACAATACCGCACAGCGCCAACATTGATTAATGTTGGCAAACGAGAATCTCTACGGTGCACTGAAACAATGCGAATCTAAACATCAACATTCTCCAATCAATTTCATTACGCATTGTATATTTAGTGTTTAAAATCAAAGTTTTACGCATGCGCATTAACAAAATAATGTGTAAAACTGTTGTTAATGTAAAGTTAAATAATTGCGTCTCTCAGAAGAATGCATGATTCTCCATGAGAGATAAACCCAATTTACTTTCGTATAGTCACGTTTCAACCATTCATGGCATTTTGAAGACTTTTTAAAACAAGTTTGAGTTTTAAATAGCCATTTTTGTTTCGTACGAAAAAAAAAAAGTTAAATAAGTCATTAATTTTTTTTTATCATCGGTTTTAATTGAATAGATTCTATTAGTTTATTTTGAGTGATATCTATTTATGAACGGTCGGCGGCTATTTAAAGCTAATCCCGGCGAATTTTAACGATTTTTGCGCGCTATATTTATTCGAGCCGAGCGGCGAGCAAAGCGTTGAATGAATGAGTCATTAATCATTTTGTGCATGCTGCACAAAAGCGCAATGTACGTCGATTCTTGAACTTTTTGCTCGAGCATGTCCTGATAAGAAAAAATTAACTTATTATTGTTATATAAACAAAATAAATTTAAAATGAGAATTTTTACAAAAAAAGTAAAACTGCAATTTTTATTAAAAAAAAAATAAATAATAAAATGAAATTATTTCTGTGTCACTTAGTTTATGCCACCATGCTGCACGTGTACGCAATATAACATGTAACATGTTTATATGCATTTCATTGCCATCTCGTTTCACTGCCATCGTTTATTGTCGCAATGTCATCGTAGCTCGTGCGTTTGTTGGCTATGCGTGCGCGAAACAACACGACCGGAAGAGTTATCGCCGTCTGTTCGACAAAAGCTCATAAAATAGTGCATATCGTGACATAACCTAGACTTTAAAGCAAATACTCAAAGGTTATGTATTTTTCACATAATCAAACCGAAAGTTTTATTGACCCGAAATTAAACGCAATAAAATGTATCATCGCACAATGAAACCGAAATTCACTCGCCGGCTTTTTGTGCGTGCGCACAATGCACGAATTGCGCACATTGGTATCGCAATTGTTAAGAATTTAAGAAGTGCACACACTTCCACCAAATCTGCAGCCGCGCCTCGCAAAGCGGCCGTATAATAACGATCATTAGCGCGCCGCGTGTCTCGAGATGCCGAGCGTCCAGGCTTTCATTCAATTAAGCGCCATTAAAATCGGAGCCGAAGGAGTGCGGTCCATTCCGAGCGCAAGGAGCGCTCCGTCGCACGATCGCCGATGATATTTTAACAGTTATTTACTGAGAAACGAATTAATAACTTCCATTCGCCGTAGACGTTCCACGGAGATGAATCTGGCATTATGCACCACGAGAGTCACAATCACACCAACCATATTCACACAATGCACAATCACTTGTTAAACATTCATTGCGATTTTTGCATCCCCTGGAAATTTTTCAATGACGGATTTAATTGAATATCGAGCTTAATTTAAATTGGTTGTGTGGGTAAGTCGTACTTGTATTTGTACTTTTGTACTACCTGGATAGTTTTCATGGCATGATGTTGGGCCTGCAGGCTGCAGGAGGAATAACCGAGGTTGTTCACCTTCGGCGGCGCGCTGCGAGCAGCCACCGCAGCAGCCGCTCACAAAAAGAGAATCACGCACACGCGATGCACAAAGTATAGAATATTGAATATTAAGTGTGTAAAATTTGACTTTTAGACACGCGCACTGATGCAAAAAATTAATTCTCCATTAAAAGTTTATACATTTTTACATTAAAAAATTAACCCCTTAACTAATAAAACGTAATAATTAATGAGATTGATAAAAAAAAGGTGTTGCACATTTATAAAACGTGACTGCACGACTAAAAAGTGATTTAAAGATAAGTTACGTTTCAACACGTTTAATAATTACAGTCATTAATAAGAAAAAACACATCACAACTCTCAATTCTCAATAAGTCGCTTATTATTTCAACCAAATAATTAAAGCCGCGGAGCACAAGTGTTGATTCGGTTTAAATTACCGCCGGACATCCATCGAGGATGTACCGTTACGATTTATTTTTGAAATTTCAAAGCCATTATGAGCGTTTGGCAGCGCGGTCGTAAATTATGCCCATGAGAAAACAACATCAATTGATTGCGAAATCTGTGTGGATTTTTTTCGAACTTCAGGTGGTTTTTTTATTTATGTATAGCCAAATCGCGCGTCGTGGCTCTCTCGAAGGAGATTATTAAGGAACATAATCCGTGTGTATCGACGCTCTGTCTATCTTTATTATACTCCGGTCTA